TAATATATATAGAGAGCAGCTTGCCTATAGTTAGGATAGGCATATTCTTCTTGTCCTTTTGTTTAAGACCTATAGGTAGAGGAATCTTATCTTTTTCTATACAGACGCGCACTCCTATATGCCTTTAAGTTATATAGGATACCTTTTAGATGCCCTACCTATCTATATCGTTACAATAAGCCTTACCTTACCTAAATTAGTTAATATCCTATAGCTAGTAAATTAGCACTGTAGGGGATGCCACTAGATAGCCTGCGACTAGTATTAATAGTATTACTGTATAGTATTAGTAGTATTACTATAGTAAAGGAAAAGGATTAACTTGCTATAACTTTGTATATTAGTAATACCACTAGTATAGGGCTCTATAATAACCTTATATAAAGCCTTAAAGAATACCTAAGAGTTATCTAAGTTAGTTAGTAATATAGATTAAGTAAGTAATATTTCTATAAGATAAAAAGGATAATAATTAGGTGTGTTTTACTAGATTTTAGTTAATATAGGATATTAGGTTATAGCTATTGCCTAGTTGCTATAGTAAAACACTCTATAACACCACGTAACTAGGTATAGATAACCTAATATCTACTAATACTATACACTAATACTATTAATACTAGTTGCAGGCTATCTAGTAGCATCCCCTATAGTACTAATTTACTAGCTACAGGATATTAACTAATTTGGGTAAGGTAAGGCTTATAACTAGGACACTTTTTTTATTGCGACCTAGACGAATAACACTTGCCCAAGGCAATCGGCAGCTTGATACGAGAACGTGCCATGTGCAGGGCCGTGCCTAGGGTCGCGGATCATGCAGCACTACGTGCACGCTTAGATACGAATCAAGCTAGACGATCGTCTTGCTTGTTAACAAGTCTGGCCTTTATCTACAGTTCGGAGGGCGGTGTATAGAGGCTTTAGTAATTAAAGCACCGGAGGCATTAGCGCGGAGGCTCTGGCGGTGAGATGTACGGAGGCTCTAGTTACTACGCGCACATATATGAAATTTCCTATTAGAACCTCCTAGATAGTCACCAACTTCACCTAATTCTATTCGGCACCTCCCCTTGGGGTTACCTTCTAACATTACAATCTTCTTAAGTTAAATAAGCCCTCCTGTGTTAATTATTCTCGGTTAAATAGATACATTAGGTCTTACAATCTAAAGTTAAATAAGCCCTCTTGTGTTAATTATTCTCGGTCAAATAGATACATTAGGTCTCACAATCTAAAGTTAAATAAGCCCTCCTATGTTAATTGTTCTCGGTTAAATAGATACATTAGGTCTTACAATCTAAAGTTAAATAAGCCCTCCTGTGTTAATTATTCTCGGTCAAATAGATACATTAGGTCTCACAATCTAAAGTTAAATAAGCCCTCCTATGTTAATTATTCTCGGTCAAATAGATACATTAGGTCTCACAATCTAAAGTTAAATAAGCCCTCCTATGTCAATTGTTCTCGGTTAAATAGATACATTAGGTCTCACAATCTAAAGTTAAATAAGCCCTCCTAGCACTAAACAAGCTAGTAGTAACCTGAACTAATCTAAATTATTTCTAGCTTTAAACTTTCATCGCATTTAATCTTCAATTTGTCTGTTCAAGTTATGGATATATATTAAACTTGATCCCACATATTCACTTCACATTCTTAACAATCTATAAACAATCTTCGCACGTTCCAAAGCCCTATTTATAACCTAGCATGGTGATTTACCTACCCCTATACCTTCTCGTCTTAGGAATAGCGTACGTGTCTCTCTTAACGCTACACTAAACGCACTTTTAAACCCAATCTAGGACTACCACGATTAGTCAGCCTCATTTGTTGTGCGCCTGCGAGAGCGGTAGACGTGATGGAGTTGACGATACCCGAACTTTGAAAGTTGTCAAAGGCACTGGAGGCAGATTTGTTTTTAGTATGTTACTAGATACAACCTATCCTAAAATTTGCTAACACTCTAAGGCAGCAGATATTGGACAAAAGCCGAAGGCGCTCCGCACGAAGGCAACTATGTACTAGATCTGCTTCCTTTAATATATTCACTTTTTAACGCGTTCTAGGCTCATGCTATAAACGGCACTATTACGAAAAAAGGGACTAACATCCAAGCCCATGACGATGGTCTCATCGGCGGAGAGGAGATGAACAGTTTATGTCCTGAACATTCCACTTGCTTCTCGCCTAATCTTAAGGCCAAATCGACCCACTCCTGCGGTCCAGACGGGAAATATGGGTGCGTCAGCGCTTGGTTATCTGTTAACTGGGAAGGACAAATCCAATAGCCATGACCAACTCCAAAAGCCAACTAATCTGGGCAGGCGCCTTGGCTGTATTGCTACCACTACGGTTCAAAACTGGTTTACAGTTGCCATATTTATCTAAAGTAGACTAAGAAGTAGCTTAGGTAGAAGAAGTAAACCTAAATAGGGTTTACTATACTATGTATTCTACTTTTACTTCTACCTCTATTAATCTACTAGTTTCCTACTAACTATTTAAGTATTTTACCCCTCCTTTCTTTAATCTTCTTTACCACCTCTATTACCACCTCTACCACTACCTCTACCACCACCTCTATCACCACCACCACCTAAACAACCTCTATTATCACCACCTCCTATTAGTAAAAATATTTAAACTTATTATTATGTTATATATGCGTATAGCATGAAGCTAATCTTCTCTACCCCTTTTAGTCTTAGTTAGGTATTATAGCGTATAATAGAAATAAAACTACTTTTTGTACTTAATTTAAACCCTAACTATAAAAGTAAACTACTACTTTAAACCTATTTATAGGTATACATAAGGTCAGTTTACACCTATATAGTAAACCCCTAGCGTACTATTCTATAGTAAACAATTTTTTACTGTAGTGTAGCCTATAGATCGCGGGTAAGCTTTACTATGTTGTACGTGTTACAGTGCTCTTCCGTGTTATTTGTAAGGCATTAGGCAATAGCGTTAGGTGCACAGTTTGGTATGTTTATATTAGCGTGCAGCCTACTTAGACAATCTTAGTTATGCGCAATTGAATCGAAGCGCTAAGCCACTATAAGCCATCGTTTGTTATTAGTAAGCTAGTAGATTTAGCGGAGAACGTCGTTTATGCCGCTGAATTTGGGTGCCTAGCATAGACTGTACTTGTGAAGAGCTCAGCTTGCTAGATAAGTACTTAGCGTGCTTGGTCGTTACCTATCATACTCTACGCATCCAGAAGACTAGCCATTGTCTTGTGTATAGTGTAGTAAGGGACATTTCCACCCTCAAGCTAGCCCGTCTCAAGTGCGGCGAACCCAACTCTAGGTAGCCTAACAGGTATCTAACGTTGAATCTAGCGGCTTTATTATTTGCCTAGCATTTTCGCGAGTTCCTTAATTATGTAGATAGAACTTTGACGAAAAGTGCTAATTAACGCAAGGTCGCGTAGCATTGAACCTAAGCAGTCAAGAAATGACCCTAGATGTAAGATCGAAACGGAAAGGTTAGTGCAGCCTATCCACTGTTAGCCTGTGCTCCGTTCGTCGATAATTTGTGGTTTCCCTGGAAAACATAGAGCAGGCGATGGACATCTTCTAGAAGATCGAGTATATACTTTAAGAGACATACTTAGCGTGTCTATTACTCCTTTTGACGGTGAAGGGGTAGGCGAAGCTTTCAAAAGACTGCTAGTTAAGGTTAATACTGTAAGCAAGTGTCTTTTCGCGACTTGTATTGCACTAACCCTTGTAACGACAAGAAGCGTATCGAGGAGACCAATGGTGGATTGCTGGTAGACTCCTACCGCTAGGTTCTTAACAACACGGCTTTCCTGCAATAGCAGCAGGACCTACACAGCCGCCTGCTCTAGATAAAAGGTGATCCTAGGAAAGGCAAGACGATGCTACTCTGCAGCATCATCAACGAGCTGCAAAGTCTTATGCATGCTACTACCTATCTAGCGTACTTTTTCTGCTAAGCGACTAACTTGTGTATTAACAGCGCTATAGCTATGCTACAAGGGCTGTTATACATGCTTATAAGACAGCAGCCGTCGCTTATATCGCACGTCCGCAAGAGGTATAATAATAGAGGTAAAAGCATGTTTAAAGATGTAAATACCTAGGTAGATTTAAGTAAGATATAGGCAGACGTGCTATAAGATCTGTAACAATAAGGCAGAATTGCAACGCCTATTGTTCTATGCCAAGTTAGCCCTAACAAAGGCCTAACTTACTAATATATATAGAGAGTAGCTCGCCTATATTAGGATAGGCATGTTCTTCTTATTCTTTTATATAAGACCTATAAATATAGGAATCTTATCTTTTTCTATATAGACGCGCACTCTTATATACCTTAAGTTATATAGGATACCTTTTAGATACCCTACTTACCTAAGTTATTATATTATAAAAAGAATATTATCCTAGCTAGTAATAGTATTTAAGAATATTATATTTATTATTATTTTAAGGTACTAATTTAGTTCTAGTAGTAGTCTAACCCTATAACTTTATAGTTAGAATAGCTATTAGAATTTCTAATAACTAAAGCCTATAGGCTTAGACTTCTAGACTACTAAGTAGTACTAGATTACCTTTAGAAAAATTATATTAGATTATATAAAGGTAGAGACTTAGAGACTACTAAAAGCCTAAAGGAATTAGAGGTAAAGCTAATATCCTTTTATAACTAACCCCCTAAAAAAAAGATTTATTATTCTTATTAACTATAAAAATATTAGATAAAAGTAAAAAAAGGGTATCTAGTTTAGCTACTTTTAAAAGCCTATTTACTAAGAGAAAGGAATTAGATAAAGAAGACTTAATTAATAACGCCCTCCTAGAAAGACTTACTTCTTACCTAGCTCTTAAAGTACCTTATACTTCTATAAAACCTTAAAGTAATACCTCTTTTAAAAATAAATATATATTAACCTTATCAAAAAAAAAGAGGTTAGAGGAATAAGTTAAATAACTTACTAATTAGTTATATAATACCTGGCTCTATAAGAAAATATAGAGAACTACCTAACCTAGCTAGTTTTTAGCTTCTATATTAAACCTTATAGTATATACTATAAAAGCTAAAAGATAGTCTAAAAAAACACTAAATATCTCTATACTTAGTAATAGCTCTAATTCTATTTTTAGAGAATAGTAAGTATTTATTTAAGATTAGCTAGAGATTAATACTAATTACTACCTCTTTTCTAGAGTATAGATAGCGTTAGTCTAGGTATACTACTTAAGACTAGTAAGGGAGTACTTAGAGCTATATTACCTATCTAACTCCCTAAGTCTTTAGTTCTAAAAAGCTAAAGATATAAGTACTCTTCTTTAAACCTACTTTATTATAAAAAATAAGATAGCTAAGAGTTAGACTATATTTAACTACTTATATATAAAAAATAATAAAATATTCTTTACTTTTAAATTAAGATTCTAGAGTCTTACTATTAGAGGAGAAGTACCCTAATTAGAGTAGTATTACTACCTCTAGATAAAGATTATACCTTCTTTAAGGATACTAAACCTTACTTTTTAATAAAATTAGTATAATAATTTTAAGACTATAGTAGATTATTTTACTACTTTTAATATAGAATAGCACCTATACCCTACCTTATCTATTCTTATCTAAACTACTCTATTATCTAGAAAAGGACTAACCTTCTCCTAATATTTAGGAAATTAGTCTTATTTAGACGCTAATTAGAAATACTAGTAAGGACCTTTAATAGCTAAATCTTATATACCCTACTTATAATAATAAGATACTACCCCTTAAAGTAATTAACCCCTATTTACTACTTTAGCTAATTCTAGCGCTACTATAATAATAACTTTAAAAACTTGCTATAATTATAAAAAGCCTTAGCACTTCTTTAGTAACTACCTTAAACCCCCTAGGATTTAGACTATAGATATAAAGTAGGTTATTAAGCCTTCTAAGGAAGAAGAGACTACTAAATTAACTAATTTAGATAGCTACTAGATAGGAAATAATAACGCCTAGGAGGATTCTTCTTCCTAGGCCTAACTTAATATAACCTATTAAATATTTCCTTAACTAAATTATTTATTAGTTCCTATTTACTTACAAGTATAACCCTATACCTTAATAGATTTAGTATTTATTTAAATACTTTACTAGATACTAGGGCCTAAGGTTAGCTATTTCCTAATTTAAAAATTACTTATAATATTTTTTCTATACTTAGGGTACCTATCTAAAAGCTACTATATAAGCGTACTATTAAAGGGTTCTAGGATTAGATTACCTTACTAGTTACCTACTATATCTAGCTTTATATAATAGTTAGTAGGCGTAAGGTGCACAACTATCTCTTTATAATAGTAGACTTAGGTTCTTAAGATTATATTATTAAATAATACTAGCTAAAATAATTCTAAATCCTAGTTAATATAAATAAATCCTAATTAATCTAGCTAGAAAAATATCTACTAACCTATAACCCTACACCTTTAATTCTAGTCTAACTCTACTAGCAAGTCCTATCTACTCTAGTTACTTATAATATCTTGTAGAGAGATACCTTCTAGAATTAAAAGGGGAATTAGAACTAAAATAGTCCTAGTTTAATTAATAGGATACGTAGTATATTAAAAATTCTAGCTACTTATAGGGCTACTATTAAACCTACTACACTACCTACCCTAGTCTAACTACTAAATACTACCCTACCTACTAAATTTTTAATTACTATTATTTCTACTAATACATTCTATTTTAATATAAAAAAATCTTCTAATAAATTCTTTACTACTAGCCTATATAAGATTAAGTATTAGATCTAAACCCTATTAAAATAGGATACTCCTAACTATATTATACTAGAGTAGAAGCTCCTATCTAACTACTACGCCTATTAGGATATCTTTAACAAAGTTAATACTAATAAACTTCTAATCTACTAGCCTTATAACTATAAGATAGTCTTTGAGAAACCCCTTTTAAACTACTAGAGTCTCCTCTATTATTTAAATACTAAAGAACTCTAGGCTACTAAGAAATATATATAAGAGCACCTATAGAAAGGCTTTATTAAGACTAGTTAGAGGCTATTTACCTCTCCTATCCTATACGTTAAGAAGCTAAATAGAGGGCTTAGAATCTATATAGATTACTATAAGCTCAATAGCTTAACGCGAAAGAACCTCTATTCTATACTTTATATAGATAATCTACTATCCTAGCTAGCTAAAGCTAAAATATTTATAATATTAGATATTTATACTACCTTTAATAAGATCTAAATAGACCCTAACTTAGAGGAGTATACTACTTTCTATACTAGGTATAGTGCCTATAAACGCAAAGTTCTACTATTTAGACTATATAATAGACCTGTAACCTATTAGCGCTATATTAATAATATACTAATAGATTATTTAGATAACTTCTATATTGCATATCTATATAATATCCTTATGTACTCTAAACACCTTAAGACTTATAAGGAACACGTTTAAAAAGTCCTTAATCGTCTTTATTTAGCTAGATTATAGGCTAATATTAAGAAAAGTAAATTCTATATAACTAGGACCTATTACTTTAGCTATATCCTTACTAATAAAGACTTAGAGGTAGATCCTAACAAAGTTAAAGTACTCTAAAACTAGTCTACTTTAAAGATAATAACTAGAGTAAAATCCTTCCTAGGATTTACTAGATTTTACTAGTAATTTATAGAAAATCTCTGTAAGATAGCTAAGCCCTTAACTACCCTCTAGAGCCCTACTACCCTATTTATATAGACTTTAGAATATTAATAAGCCTTTAATAAACTTAGGAATACCCTACTAGTAATCTTAAGTTTAGCTTACTTCTATTTTAAATACCCTCGAAAACTAGTAATAGACGCCTCTAATAGGGTTATTGTAGCTATCCTCTTATAGAAGCATCCTAATAGGAAATAGTACCCTGTATCCTTCTTTAGTTAGACCCTTACTAGTTCTAAACTTAACTAGGAAATCTATAACAAAGAATTATTTACTATAATCTGCGCCTTTAAGAAATAGCGTGCTAACCTAATAAGTACTTAGCACCTTATTAGAGTATACACAGACTATAGAGCACTAGAGTACTTTATATCTACTAAAGTCCTTAGTGCTAGGCAAGCTAGATAGCTAGAGGTTATAAGTCCCTTTAACTTCTAAATTAAATATACTCCTAGATCCTATAACGCCTAAGCTAATATCCTAAGCAGAAGGGAACAGGATATAATTAACCTTAAAACTACTTAAAGAGATAATTGCTTATAAGTACTAATTACTCTAGATAGGTTATACCTCTAAATTAACTCTAACTTAGCGCAAAACTACCTAACTAAGCGTACCTTACTAATCCTTACCTTAATTATAGTAGTTTAGAACTCTATAACTCTTAGATCCCTAAAGCTTATTAAAACTCTTCTTTAAGAAAATAGGTCCTTATTTCTAATAGAAAGATTAAAGTTACCTAAGTACTATTATATAGAAAATAGACTCCTTCTTTACTAGAATTAACTTTACGTGCCTACTAGATTAGTCCTATATACTAGACTAATTTATAAGGCTTATAACTAAGTATCTACTACTTACCTATTAGCTACTAAAACCTATTAGATTCTAGCCTAATAATACTACTAGAAAGGTATAGAGATAACCTATAAATACTATATTTAGAACTATATCCCTTATAGGAGAGGGCACCTAAGATAGCACTAACTCCCTAGCATGCTCTACCCCCTTTCTATCCTTAGTCTACTAATACAGCACCTATATATTAATTTTAAGGATATTCCCTATTATTAATAAACTAATAGGGAGAGTAACCTATTTAAACAAGGAGATGTAGAAGGGGCTAGGTTTAATAGTAGTAATCTTATAGTAAAGGATATATATTTAATATTAGATTATATGAGAAAAGTTAATATTATAGAGTTAAAGTAAAGTCTTTAGAAGTAATACTATTCTATCCTCTAATCCTTTATACCTTTATACTATTTAACCTGCCTAATCTTTTAGGCTAAGTCTTGTTTTCTCCTATACACTTTATACTATAGCACATTAACTTAG